CCCAAACACCATAAACCACCCAAACAAACACAGAAAAACAGCGGGGTTGGTGGAAGATAGATGACGTTGAAACCCTCAAAAACCTCCTCATGTCTTTGAATGGTAGAGGCCTAAGGGAGAAAGTTCTACAGAAATATCTGGAGAAGAATTTTGAAACCGTGTGCCAGAGTAGTTTCAAGATGAAGAAAAATAGTACGTTGTTTCGTTTTTTAATTGTATTTGTTGTATTGTATTTTTTGTATTGTATTTTTTATATTGTATTTGTTGTTTTGTATTTTTTGTATTGTATTTGTTGTATTGTATTCATGGTTATGTATTTTCAGTATTGTATTTGTTGCATTGTATTTGTTGTATTGTATTTTCAGTATTGTGTTGTATTTATTGTAATGTATTTTCAGTATTGTATTCAATGTATTGTGTTTGTTGTATTGTATTTTAGGTATTAGTCTTGTTGTCTTGTATTCATTGTATCGTGTTTGCTGTACTTATTGTGAACACCATCACAACAACAACTACATTAAAACGACAAAATTAACAACAGTTATGAATGCAACGACAACAACGTCGGTGACGTCACACGCGTCGTCAGCATCGTCATCATCGACCACTACCACCACCACGACAAAGCCCACGCAGCAACAACAGTCGCCACAACTACCGCCACAGCCGGACAAAAATGTATTGTGGAATTTTCAGTCGCAGAAATCAATTGAGTTGAATGTACTGGAGAGTATTGAAGATCTCAAAGCCACCATTTGCTCCGCCAGTCTGCAGGTGATGATGACGACGACGACGACGATAATGATGATAATAATGATGATGATGGTAGCGGTGGTGATAATGATGACGATGGTGGTGGCCATGTTCACGCGATGATGAAGATGTGATATTGATAAAAATGATATAAAGCTTGATGACGTCATAAGTTTTATGTCTTTTCATCATTATTTCATCAATAAAAACATTTTGAAATCAAGCTTTGACATAAGTTTTGAACACAAAAAATTAACTTAAGAGGGGATCAACAAACAAATAACAAACAACAAACGACAAACATACAACAAACAAAAAACAAACATACAAACAAACAAGTATACAAATAAACAACCAAACAAACACAGGGTTGGCGTATGTCCCCACGGCACTCACTCAGCAGTCGCCATTCGAACGACGACGACGACAACAAAGATGATGACGACGACGATGAAGGTGCTATTAAATCGAAAGATGATGCAGAAAATGAGAGTAAAGATAGAGAGAACGGTGAAGAGAGTCACAAGAAAAGAATGAAGCATGGCGAAAGAAAGAAAAAGAGAGATAGCGATGGAAACCATAAGAGAGATGTGGTGGAAAGTGAAGGGGATCTCAAAAGAGAGGCTAATGATGACGAAGAAAACTCCAAAGTTAACGAGAGGACCAACAAAAAAAGGAGATACAGTAGCGAAAGTGAGAGGAGTAGGAAAAAGAGAGATAGTGAAGAAGCGGGAGGAAAAACTGTCCTTGAACTTGCCAAAACGAAACTCCTCCACCTAGAGCACAACATTGAAAGAAGGTACCTGAAACCACCACTGGGAAAAAGGTTTGTGATGGTGATGAAAATGATGAGAATGAAGAAGTTGATGGAGATGTTGACGTAGATACTTTGCGATGTAGTAAATTTGACAATGAGTTATAAATGATGTTTTCTATATTTACTACATTTTTTTCATTATCCTGCAGCTCTGAAAGGCGCAAAACTTTTTGCATATTCATTTCAAAAACATTCTTACCACAAAGATTGCAACATCCACGCTACACCACACTATCTAACCAATCCAGACTCGAAACCGCCGCATTCTTAGACAGTATTCGAACCGGGCATCTTGATATATGGCACTTTCAATAACTTTTACTAATCCGCTAAATGTTAACAGGGACTATAATTTTAATCCTTCCCAATGCATTCAGCCTCCCTCTCAATCTGCACCAGAACTCATCGTCCTCATCACTGCAGACGTCATCATCGACCCACCACAACACCACCACCACCAACAACAACAACAATAATAATAATTCTCATCATCATCATCTCGAATCGTCATCGTCAGACGATGATGACGACTATGAAGCCGTGAGCAAGGAATTATTATTGTGGAGGTCTGCTGTCTCATCAGCTACGTCACCATCACAGTTGTCCTTATATGTCGAACAGCTGAATAAGTGCATTGCCTGGGAGAAGTCCATCATGAAAGTGGTCAGTTGTGGCTGTTGTCGTCAGTGGTGGTTGTTGTGGCTGGCGCTCTTGTCGTTGTTGTAGTTGTGGTTGTCGTTGCGTTGTTGAAGCTTTGTGATTAGACATGCATTTGACTTTTTATATATACTGCAGTTATTAATTACAGTGTTATTGTGGTTTTAATTGTTCTAGAACGCTTTTAGCTGTAAAATGTAGATATTGTTGCATTGTTAGAAATCCGTTGCAAGATGTGGCATGTCTCGTTATATTATAAATTAATCTCTTTACTGCAAGAAACAACATTCCCTGTTTTCGCTTTTATAGATATTTTTACAATGTCAATTTTCTCTCTCTCTCTCTCTCCTTTTTTTTCTCTTTCTCCTTCCCTCTTTCTCTCTTTCTCTTTCCATCTCTCTTTCTCTTTTTTATTTCATTTTTTGATTCTATCTCTCTAACTTATTCATTTTTTCGTTCTCGTCGCGTAATTCTTTTTCCTTAGCTCTCAAATTTGTTCCAATTCTCAAATCCTCATCAATTCTCTTTCTCTCTCTCTCTCTCTCTCTTTCTTTCTCTTTCTCTCTTTCTCTCTTTCTCTCTCTCTCTTTCTTTCTCTCTCTCTCTTTCTTTTTTCCCTTTTACTCTGTCTTTCACTCTCCCTGTTTCACATCATCCTCTCTCTCTCTCCCGTCCGCAGTCGTGCCAGATATGTTGTAGCGACGACGACGAAGGGCAGCTGCTGCTGTGCGACATGTGCGACAAGGGCTACCACACCTACTGCATCAGGGTTAGATGGGGAGAGCTATTATTGTTATTGTTATTATTATTATTATTATTATTATTATTATTATTATTATTATTTTTGTTTTTATTTTTATTTTGTTATTAACAACAAATTAAACTAAAACAAACAACAACGAACAAATAAACAACAGCAAGACAAAAACAAACACTCAGACCCTACAAACAAACAACAACACAAACAAACAAACAAAACAATACAATACAAAGTCAAACAACAGCAAAACACAAACAAACAATACAGACACACAAACAAACATACGAATAAACAAACAACGCAAACAGCCAAAGTTGCAGAGCATACCAGAAGGTGATTGGTACTGTTACGAGTGCATCTCAAAGGTCATAACTATAATTAGTACTTTTGGTTTTATTCTTCTTCTTTTCTTCTTCTTCTTTCCTTTTTCTTCTTTCCTTCTTCTTCTTTCCTTTTTCTTCTTTCCTTCTTCTTCTTCTTCTTTTTCTTCTTCTTCTTCTTTCCTTCTTCTTCTTTCCTTTTTCTTCTTTCCTTCTTCTTCTTCTTCTTTTTCTTCTTCTTCTTCTTTTTTTCTTCTTTTTTTTCTTCTTATTATCATTATTTTGTTGTTGTTGTTATTGCTAGGCTTCGGGTGACGTATGTTGCGTGGTATGCGGGGAGCACGGTGGAAAACTAGTGATGTGCGAGTTGTGTTCGAGAAAGACTCATCTTACTTGTCTTGATCCTCCTGTTTATCGGTTAGTTGGTTGGCTCGTTGGTTGGTTGGCTGGCTAGCTGCTTGGTTGGCTGGCTGGCCGGTTTGTTGGTCGGTTGGTTTGTTGGTCGGTTGGTTAGTTGGTTGGTTGGTTGGTTGGTTGGTTGGTGGTGGT